ACAAGACAAAGCCATCCATCCGGACCCAAGGAGGTGAGAACAGACAAGAACAAGCAGATCTTCTTGTAAATGCTGCCTCCATTTCCAATATCCTTAAGTCGGAACACCACCACCACCGGCATGCCCCGTTTAAAAAAAATAAAATGCTTTTGCTCTCTGGCTGCTATAGTTATGGACATGTGACAGAGCTATAGTTATTCTGTACTGTATGGCATTGCATTACCTGGGCTATATTAGTATTGAGCGGCTACAGCTGCTGTTTTTGCAGAACTCATTAAATATTAAACTTAAATGATGCCAATATTATCCGCTGTGAAAACACACCCCAAAGAGGCTAACGAAACACAGCGACCATTTTAATTATTTAGGCCGTGCCATAACTGCCCCGGCGCTTTAACTCAAGAAGCGATGAAGAGAAACGACAGGCACAAAAGCTCTCCTCCGAATAAACGGAATCTCCTTTGCAACAACGCAACGTCACGGGCGACCTGAGTTCGGGCCCCTTGACCTGTGGGCCAGCAGGGGCAGCTGCCAAGCCCCAAGGAAGGGAGAGGTCCCGATCATTTTAGGCTGAGCTCTGGGCTGGTGGTGTCTTCCTCTCTCCGCAGCCGCTCTGAAAGAGACTGTCAAGAAATACCTTCTCGTGACGTGGGCATTTCTCCAGTAGCCCCTTAGGACACTTTGATTCTGCAGCCGGGAGTAATCAAACAGCTGAGTGAGACTGCTCTCCTCTGTAAAGCACTTTGAGATGCACTGATGAAAGGATCTCTGTAAGAGCCGGTATTAGTGTTCTAATAAAGCAGCTTATTCCCATCTTGATACATGCTGCAAACTGCCATATACACAAATGTGTTTCATGTGTGCCTAGAGAATAGAATAACCCTAAGGCTGCAACAGATTCCTCACAGTCATTTACTTTAAACTACTTCCAGTCCAGACAAAATAGCAGCTAAATAGTGCTGGGGTAGGCAGTTATTAAGTTACATCTAACTAAATTCACCAGGTGCAACCTCTTCTTTCTGTGGTTCACATGGGTCTGAATAAAGATACAGTGTGTGGAAGCTGCCAAGAATACAAACTTGCCTTTTGTTTGTTAGTTTGGTTTTGGAGGGGAAGGCCCAGAAAAAGAGTAGAAAGAAATATTTAAAAATGACAGGCTTTTAAGAAACAAATGTTCCTTATTTCAAACATAGAGGTGGAGAGGAGGCCTTCTTTCCTGCATATGGCTGCTAACCAAAACTGCCGAAGCTCTGATGTGTTTGAATGCAGCGCCCATTGCAGCAGTATCAGGGCACTGGAACAATTCAGAGACATCACAGCCTCTCAACCAGAGGCAACCAGTTCACGTCTCTACAGAGCCAAATCCTGCATCCCTGCAGTGTTCATGCTCCCACTGCGGGGAAAAGGAGCTGAAGATTTTCACCCCTATGCCTGCTCTGAAATGTAATTAACAGGCTGACTAAGCCAACACAAAGGTGAATCCAAGTGATTTTAGAGTATAGACCATTAAGAGCTTTTACAAACGCCCATTTTCACTTGGAACAGATTATTGCCTGCTTCAGAAGGGTCCCTATTTTCAGCTCTAGACAGGGGAGGGAAACCCATTCTCAACACCACCATTGTAACCAGCACACGCTGGGAGCCTCATCTCATCCTCACCTGTCCACGAGTGTGAGATGTCACCGACGCTGCAAGAGGAATTCGACGTGCACACTAGATAAGTGGCGAGTCCTTGCTGGGTGAGGAGCACACTAGCTGTAGGAACGTCTTGTCAGAACCAGAGCTTAGGCTGACATTCATTTCTCAGGTCGGGTGGTCTAAACTGCAATCTACACGGCAGAGGTGCTGTGAATATGCTGAGGACAGCAAGAGTAGCTGCAGGCTTGTATCTGATTACCGGAGCATTTAACGATCGAGACACACACAGGAGTTTATGGCAGGATGTTCATTTGTGCACACATCGCACTAAGATTATCGGTGGCATGTATTCTTGTAATCTGTACCACCTGCCTCCTGGGCTGTGTTTACTTGTGGCAGACTCTGCGTCTCTTGGGTCAGAGCAAAGGCTACCACACACCTCTGAGTCCTTGTTTCTACCCTGGAATCCTTGCTGGAGCCTGGACATTGCCTCTGGGCAAGGCCAACACCAGACAAGCATCGTGGAAGTTTTTGTGAGTCTAGAGGGACAATTCCTGGAATCACAGGAGTTACAGATGGAAATGACCTATTAGATCTTCCAGTCCATCTCTGCAAATACAGGACTCTTCCCTATTGTACCTCTTCTAGTGTTTCCTCTAGTTTTACGTTCACGAAGTGGCAGTACTTTTACCCCTTCCACTGCAAAGTTATTGGCATCAGTAATGTTGGGCCCCCCTTTGCACAGTGCTTTGAGATCTACAGGGGAAACAGATTCATAGTCTAATCAAGGCCAGAAGGGACTACTAGAATCATCCAGTCTGATCTCCTGCAGAACACAGCCAGTGATTTCACCCAGTTACCGGGTGTTGAGCCCAATAATTGAACATGCGATACGAGTATTATTCATATGTTGTTCCGCAGACCAAGAGAGCTCACTGCTATTAATATTCGTAAACACCCTCCTTCCTCCCACCAATAATTCCTCTACCTCCTTGGCGGACTATCACACCTCACTTGGATTTATCCAGGCTGTACATCCTCAGCTATATTTACTCTACACTCCTCAGCCAAGTCCCTCGTCTGAGTATCTCTGAGCTCCCACCGGTTTGCCAATATTTCCCAGCAACGCGATGCCCAGAACTGACCCCTGGGCTAGATGTGATTGCACCAGAGCAGCACAGAGCAACCATTGGCTCCTTCCTCCATGCCAGGCTGTCTCTTCACATGCAGCCCCCGGTAACCTGGCCTGCTTGGCAGCCACCCCACAGCACAAACTCCTGTCTCACTGCTCGCCTGCCATCACCCCAACGGTGCGCGCAGCATTTCTGCTTTCCAGCACAAATGTTCCAATTACTCCCCACTGCATTCCTCTCTCCTCCCCATGTTCAGCTCACTTCACTGGCTAGGTTTTTAATCTTTCCATGCCCCATTTTTTATTTCTCTGTCCTCAAGGATATTCTCAAATGCTCCCAATTAATATCATTGGTACATTTCATTAAGATGCTGTTCACCCTCTTCTAGATCATTCATGAAAATGTTAAACAAGACCACACCTAGCACTGATTTCTATAGCACTAGATAGCTCCCCCCGATTCAATACATCGCCAATTAGCATTGCTCTTTGTTGTGGCCTTTTAGTCCATTTTCAATCCACTGGAGTGTGTTATGTGATGAACAGAGCAATATGTGGGTTATAAAACAAACAGAACCACATTTAAATGCCTAATTTGTTTACCTCCCACCCTGCTTCCCAAACAATAAACCTTTACATTTTACAGTTATTAAGGGAAATCTGAGTTGCTGTTATTTGGCTCCAATGTGTTAAGTCCTTGAGGGAGGAGTAATGAGAGGAAATCAGTAAAGGGAAGTTTTAAGGCAAGAATGAGGCTGTAAAAGAATCACCCATGGAAATGATAGAAACCCCATTGCCTGAATCCTTTAATGCTAGATCAGACAATAGCTAGACTGTGTAAAAGAGGGCAGTACAGTGCAATGGGAGGAGGACAGTCTAAAAAGGCCTTTTTAGCATCTAACTTTTCCAATTCTGAACCATGTCTCTGTGGTTATGAATAATTCAACCCTGCCTTCCCAAGGGTTCAAGATTCAATAATTTGGGAGTGAAAATCAAGTGCTGGTTGATATGCTGCAGGGACCTGCAGAAATTAGAGTCTCTGCTTGTTCTGTATAAGAAAGCTTACTAATAGTGGCAAACACCATGCTGTTTGGTTGTGAATACAGAGGACTTCCTGCGAGACATTTCAGACCAGCTCGTTTAGTTTGAACAGGGTGAGATGGAGCTGGATGGGAAGTGCCCTTTTTTCCTTGGATGGTTGTTGGTATTTCTAACACACGCTGTTCTCACAGACAGGTCTGGAGTACTAGGCTATTTTGCGGCCTTAGCTGAAAATGAGTCGATTTTTTGGTAATGGGACTATCGGATCAGAGAAGGTAGAGATGGAAAAGACCTATTAGAGCATCCACTCCAGCACCTGCACTTGCAGAACAGAATCCCTCATCAAAAGCTGCAGGCCACTGACAGCGTCATGGATGGCCGGACCGGCCAGTTCTCTTGGACAGGTGCGGGCGACGTGCCCTGCGGTGCATGCAGCACCTCCTCCCACTTGGTCACTTCCTTCCTGCCAGCAAACAAAGGATGGGAACACACCAGAATCCTAGTCCCCTCTCGGAGGCAGACACGGTCCCTGCCGCAGGGACGAAGCCAGGGCCCCTCACCTGCCCAGCCGCAGCGGGGACAGAGAAGTACAAACCGTTTCCAAACATATTTAAAAACATCTCTCTCGAAAGTGGCTAAAAACCAGTTTAGGAAGCGAAATCCAGCAGGTTACTGACCAGAGGGATTTTCTACAGCGAGGTGACTGAGCTCCTGCAAGCATGAATCCAGCACGCGCTGACAGCCCCTGATCTACATCACTGCAGCTACAGCTGGGTGGCCGGAGTGGGAAGGGAAACAATCCGGCCAAGCCCCGACAAGTCTCCGGGGCTCGTGGAGGAGGAAGGCAGCCGGGGAAGCGCTCGGGTTCCAGGCGGGGGGGTTCCCAGGCGGTACTCGGGCGGTCCCAGGGAGCCAGCCCCAGGGCACAGGGTCCGGGCGAGTGAAGTCCCCGGGGTAGCCCGGTGCCCAGGTGTGGGCGGAGCCCCGGGCGAGGTGTCCAGGTGTCGGGGGGGGGCAGGGCTCGGCGCACCCCCCAGCACCGGGGCGGGGGGGCGCTGGGTGTCCCCGCCTGTCCAGCGCCAGGGGCGGCCACTCCAGCCCCGTGCTACGCGGGGACGCGCCTCCCCCGGCTGCAGCCCCCGCCCCCGATGCATTCCGCCCCCGAGCCCCGGCGGGCTCCGGCTCTTACCTGGCGGGGCTGGAGCAGCCCGCAGCCCGCTGTCCCGGTGGCCGGGCTCCCGGCTCGGGGCGGGGCGGGGCGGGGCGGGCAGGCGCATGCCTGGCCGCGCTCCCCGGCTCCGAGCCCCTCCCGCGCCGCGCCGGGGCGGGATTCCCCGGCCGCCCCCGCCTGGCTGGGACCCGCGGGCGGAGCGTGTCCCCCGCCGGCTGCTGCCCACGCGCCGCCCGGGGCCGGGCTCTGCAGACACGGGGAGCGCGGCCAGGGGACCCCGGGGCTGCGGGAGGAGCCGGGGGCGCTGAGAGCCCCTGAACCGGACTGTAACCCCGGGGTGAGGGACCCCCACCAGCCAGGGGGTGCGCAGCGCCGCCGTGGGTGGGCGGCGGGGGGTGGCCGCGCCCCTAGTCCCCGCCCCCCACTCCCAGCTAGGGTGACCAGATGTCCCGATTTTATAGGGACAATCCAGATATTTGGGGCTTTTTCTTACCTAGGTGCCCCTGTGTGTGTCCAGCGAGGGTTGGCCCGGGGGGGGGGCAGCACCCCAGTCCCAGCCCCTGTGTGTGTCCGTCGGGGGGCGGCCAGCAGTGACCTGACTTGGCCAGGGGCAGGGCCCAGCCAGGGCCCGGCTGCATGGGCAGTGGAGGGTGCCCTGGAGTCTCTAGGAATTAAAGATTCTGTCCGGCGATGGCACCTCCTGGAATACGTCCAACCACAACCGGCCATGCCGGCTCGAAGGGACCCGTGTGCTGGGTCCCACCGGCGGAGCACACGGGAAGGGCAGCCGGGAGTGCTCTGCCTTGTCACACGGACCCCAGGAAGCTGGGGTTTGACTGGAGTATCCCGGTTAGAAAGACACCCCCCGCCCCCCATCCAACAGTGCATTTATCGCTCTCGGCTATTCCAAGGGCTGCGATGTCTCCAGCCCTCAGATCATGCTCACCTGCGAGCCTGGTGGAGGCCGGATTTAGTGGTCTCGCCCTGTGGAAAATGATCAGATTTCCTCAGGTGTCAAATGTAAATCACAGCAGAGCCCCTCACACTTCACTGTGTCCTCAGAGCATCCAGGGGAGGCCAGGCCCTTGGCCTCATTATCCCGGGGGAGGGAGGCACAGGGAGATTAAATGACTTGCCTAAGGGCACACAGGAAGTCAGTAGTGCAGGGACTGGAACAGGGATCACCCAGGTGCCAAGACAATGGAGCTAAGCCTGGGCCATCAGCACCTCTGAAGCAGAAAAATCACCAGGGAGCCTAGACCAGCAAACAGAGGCAGTGTCCTGCAGGGAGCCATTCTGCACTGTCCCTGCACGGGGACGGGGACACAGACTGGAGGAGCTGACAGAGTTTTTCCATGTGGGTGGCTCTCCCACAGCGACGCGTGAGGACAGGGAAACAGCAGGTAAAACTGGCAAGTCCAAGGCAAGGTGACAGGAAGCTGGATAAACCTGCACACAGTACACAGCTTTGTAAACCACATTTGCCTGGCTCTGACCCTTCATCCAGACACAAGAGGTGCTAGCCATCCACCTCTGGCCATCTTGTCTAAACCCCCAGGCAGACTGACCACACTCCAGCTGCTTGTGTCTCCAGTTCTGGGGCGGCTGGAGGGCTCCACGCAGGAGCTGCTGGAACTGTCATTTGAGTCCCAGCCAGAGTCACTGGGTCGGAGTCCGGCAGGGAATCAGTGGGGCTAGTTTAGTGGGTCAGGTGAGCAGGATTTGACCACATTTAATGCCAGGATGGGAGCACGGAGGGGAACTAGCTCGGCTGAGGATGGTGGTGTGAGGTGCTGAATCATGAGTCAGTGTGTGGATTATACGTCACAAGCAGATTTGAATATCATTCCCCCATCACCTACCTGCCAAGCCCAGCCTACCACATTTCTCCACTCAGCTGAGAGCACCCTGAAAACCTGCATTGTGTGCTGCAGACCTGCTGCTCTAGGTGCTGGGGAGGGCAGGGGCTTCACAAGAGAGAGAGATTTCTGCATTGAAGGCCACATGCTTCCAGCCTACCGACGCTGGGGTTTCTATTGTATCTGTCACTGTGAGCAGCCCTAGTACACCCCTCCAGGCAGAACTGCTTGGGGGCAAGGGTGTTCGGAGCTGATTTCACCTTCTCTCCTCTGCTGTTTTCCTGCTGCAATTCAAAAGTCCCCAGCCTGCTAAGATTGGAAAGTGAGAGCTTGGCTAAAGCTCCCATGGGAGAGCTCCTAGGGGTGACCAACGCAGCCCACTGGAGCTCATCACAAAGGGGAGTGAGTCGAGAAGAGGATGGTGATCCCTAGCTAGTCAGGACTCTTCATCTGGCCTGGGTAGAAACCCTCACACCGCGCCCAGGCAGGCCCAGGCTTTGATTGATTTTGTTTCTCTCTCAAATACAGCTAGTGCCCCTGGGGCGTTTCTCCTTTTCCTGCCCACAGCATAACGAATTCACTCGCTTCCTTCCTGCTCTGGAGTGGCAGGAGCCTGAGTCCCTGGATGTTCAGCAGCTTAAACTGTCTGCCAGTTGGCGTCTGATCGAAGCAATATGTCATTTAAATAGAGAAAAGCATCAGCAAAAAGCAACAGCTTCATCGTTACTAGCCAGTGTCTCCAGCTCTCTGGGAATGCCACCCCTTCTCGAGGAAGCCATGCCCAACCTCCCAGGAGCAAAGAGCATGGGCTCGCAGCGGGTTTGCTGTTAAAGGCTGTTTATAATGGACTGGAGGGAAGTTGGGAGCCTTCCTTCAAGGTAACTTTCTGACACAACCGTATAGCAGGCGTGTGTGTTCTGTGAACAGGGAAAAGCAGTGTGGATTGTTAGTTCAGCTCAGACCTGCTCCAGCTAAAGCAGTAGCAAAATGTATTGAGGTGTGAACAGAGAGAAACTTGAGCGGGTGAATTTAGTACCTACCTGTTTAGATCATGGGCGGGCAAACTTTTTGGCCTGAGGGCCACATCAGGTTTCCGAAATTGTATGGAGGACTGGTTAGGGGAGGCTGTGCCTCCCCAAACAGCCAGGTGTGGCCCGGCCCCGGCCCCTGCGCCCATCCAACCCCCCTGCTTCTCGCCCCCTAACAGCCCCCCTGGGATCCCTGCCTCATCCACCCCTCCCTGTCCCCGACCGTGCCCAGACCTCCCACCCCTGACTGCCCCCCGCCACCCCATCCAACCCCTCCTCTCCTTCCTGACTGCCCCCCACAGGATCCCTGCCCCATCCAACCACCCCTTCTCCCTGACTGCCCCCAGAGCCCCTGCCCCAGACTGCCCCCCTCTGCCCCATCCAACCCCCCGTCCTTCCTGACTGACCCCCAGGGACCCCTGTCCCCATTCAACCCCCCTATTCCCTGCCCTCTGACTGCCCCGCCCCCTATCCACACCCCCGCCCCGTGACCACCACCCTGAACTCCCCTGCTCTGTATCCAACCTCCCCCAAACCTTCTTACCACGCTGCCTGGAGCACCGGTGGCTGGCGGCACTACAGCCCACGCCGCCCAGAGCAGCAGGACAGGCAGCCACGCCGCCCGGCTGGAGCCAGACATGCCACCACGCAGCACAGAGACCGGGTCAGGCCGGGATCTGCAAGAGCCCCACCGCTCAGAGCATTGCGCCGGCGGCACAGCGAGCTGAGGCTGTGGGGGAACAGCAGGGGAGGGGCTGGGCGCTAGCCTCCCGGGCCAGGAGCTCAGGGGCCAGGCTGGAGAGTCCCGCGGGCTGGATGTGGCCCACGGGCCGTAGTTTGCCCACCTCTGGTTTAGATCTTGGAAGGACTAGTAAAGTATTAGCTCACAATACCATGCAGGTGGCTGGAATAGTCTATTTTTGGAACTGGTCAGAAGACAAGAATATGGACCCAAATATTTGTATTCCTCTTCTCACAGGTGAGCTCACTGCCTGGTTTGGGCTTTGCTCTGAAGATGTGGGCTGGGGAGAGGGAAAGCTGTCTGGCTTCATGAAATGTGCCCCATGAAATTTGGACCATTGTAAAATTGACCGTTTCTATTTCTGGGTAAGTTGCTGAGAAGCAGGAGTTACCTCTTCCTGCTGAGACACAGGAGACTTGGTATATTGATGTCCCACTACTTTGTGTGTGCGCCACTTTACATAAAGCTTGGTGCAGCATGCACTGGTGAAAGGCTTAACGGCTTTGCTAATCAGGCTCAGGGCATTCCTACGGGGAGCTGGTGGGCAGGGTCACCAGCCAGGGAAGGGAGAGCAAGCTCCAGCCCTCAGTCCTTCTAAGGCTCTTCTGTTGGGCTTGTTTTATTGTCCACACAACTATCCCTGAACAAAGGAAATCAACCGAGAAACAGAGCAACAATCCCTCAAGACTTTCCTTGCTTCAGCCCGCCAGCCAGGAGGGGACAGAACGCATGGTTCTTCTGCCTTTTTACATTGTGCCCCAACCAGCCATGTGACAGACACCCTGTTAACCCTTTACAGGCTGCAGCACTTTTACTTTGCCAATGTGTATTTATATCATTTTATTCTGCTGGTGAAAAAGACCTTGGGCACTAGTAGAAGTCCACAATGCGATCACTTTATCCTAAACTGATGCAAATCTACATTTGTGCAGATTTCGCTCTTGTTTTCTGTTTTGCACTGGTGTTGCCAGTGGTGAAAACTTTTTGCACAATATAGGCCAGAAGGTAGAGAGCCACTTTGTCATGGAATAAATGCTCTTTACTTCTCTTCAGCTGCTATCATCTCGGTCCCCTGGCTTGCAGAAGGTGCATTTGCAGGGAGATGGTAGACACTAGTACTGGCGCAGGAGCGAGTGATGCTGGTCTATTGAGCACAGACACGTTTTGGCAGAAGGCAGACGGCTTGTGATGACTTTCTCCCCCCATCCACCAAGATCCCTCCCTGGTTTATTTCTATTTTTCACTTTCCTTCATCAAAAGCCCCACACTGCAATGACATTCCTGCTGAACTTGGCTGCGGGAGGCCTCTGCTCAGAGGAAGTTGCTCTTAGAGCAAGCTGGATTACTGCCACCCACCCAGTCAAGGTCAAACCCTTCACACCATGCTCAGGCCCCTGCAGTCTCAGGCAGAGGGCGGGTGGGTGGGACACAGCTTGGGCTCTGCACTCTGAACTTCTGTTGCACCCAGCTGGCATTATTGCTAGCTGCCATGGTCAGGACTTTCCTGATT